CTAATAAATAAATAATAATAATAATAGGAGTCACAGTTTGAACTCGACACATCATACTGTGACTTTGTATAGTGAACACATCAACTTGGCGGAATCTTGACTACTCATCAATTTAAGTAAGCAATTCTAAACACAATTAAGATCTTTCACATAAAAAAATAACTTATTAATATAAATTAATATACCGAAAAAATAAAATATACTTAGACAATCACGGTGAAATATACTGCAATGACGAACTTACTCGGAAATATCCTTGATGATGGGGACTAACTTTTTGATGCTGGATAACATCTAATTGTTTTCAATTCTCATATCAAGCGGTTCTGACGATAATTTTAACTAATAATGTTCAAAAGAATTGATGACGTGGAATGGGCCGTCAACCTGTTCTACTAACAACAGGGAACTCGTTTACATGTTTTTTGACATAATCAAAAAGTTTACCATCTTAACTAAAAAATGGTTAGCCGATTAGAAAAAATATCTAATTTAATAAATGTTATAAGCGTAACCCAATTTAAATTCATCGACTTATTAAACCAAAATGTTCATTAAAAAATAGACTCTAATGCGTAATATGTCATAATTTTTCTTAAAAGAATTTTTATTGTTTTTATATTTACTGAAGAAGGCTGAGGTAACAGCCAAAACGTTTTATTATTTTTATTATCATTGTATCTACTAAGAAATAAATCAATTATGTGTTGACATTACATCTCTCACTAATTTAATATGCTCGTTATAGTTGGCCCTGTCTTTCTAAATCTTAATTTTATAATATCACACGAGCCTTGTCTTTAAATATCTAATTGTTTTCCTTATTAAATTTATAACTATTATTACTACTATTGTACTATTGTAACTACTATTTATTACTACTATAATATTTCTATTACTAATAACTATTTAAAATAAGCAAGTGACTGCTTTATTTTTCAGAAATCATTATTTTTCGAAATTATATTATATATATATATATATATATATATATATTTTTAACAATAAAATATTAAATTTTGTTCGCCAGGAATGAAATACTAAGGTAGTAGATATTAAACTGACTACACTGGCTGTCTATTAGATTTGTTAAACTATATTTATTGACGTTTCGACCATACAGGCTGTGGTCCTTTTCAAAATTACAATAGAAGCATTAATGAGTTACTGCATATCATTATTGACATTTAAAAGTACGCTCCGGTGAGACTTAACTTAAGATCGGATGGTAAATTAACTGCGTTTCACTTGTGTCATCTTGTCACGACTGAGCACACTATACAGTATAGTGTGCTCAGTCGTGACAAGATGACACAAGTGAAACGCAGTTAATTTACCATCCGATCTTAAGTTAAGTCTCACCGGAGCGTACTTTTAAATGTCAATAATGATATGCAGTAACTCATTAATGCTTCTATTGTAATTTTGAAAAGGACCACAGCCCGTATGGTCGAAACGTCAATAAATATAGTTTAACAAATCTAATAGACAGCCAGTGTAGTCAGTTTAATATCTACTACCTTATATATATTTTTGTAAAAAATTTTATAAAAATTGAACTCCATAAATGTTGAATAAGAATGAGAAGGGTATCATTAGAATATCGCAAAAAGTTTATAGATGGAGAAAATCTTGAAAATTTCAAAATTATATTTATTTTTAGAATGATCTGAAGAATACAAATATAAGTTTCACTGTGGACATCAGTTGCAGGACACCCTATACACACATACATTTATATATACATATATACAATATATATATATATATATATGTATTATGTATGTATATATATACAGGGTGTCCTGCAACTGATGTCCACAGTGAAACTTTGTATTCTTGAGATCATTCTAAAAATAAAGATGATTTTGAAATTTTCAATATTTTCTCCATCTATAAATTTTTGCGATATTCTAATATAAATATATATATATATATATAAATATTGAAAATTTCAAAATTATCTTTATTTTTAGAATGAACTCAAGAATACAAAGTTTCACTGTGAACATCAGTTGCAGCACACCCTGTATATACAAGAATATGTAATAAAAAATATAGGATTCCATCTAAGAAATTCAAGGTGACCTTATTCTGACCTTGGTAACGCAATCCAAGGTCTAACTGATAAGATCAATTAATAGATTTTTTATAACTTTTGTCTGAAACTTTTTCTGTAAAACGTATACTTTTCGAGATTTTTTAGTGTTCCGATCTTTTTGGGACACCCTGTATATGTATATATACACATATATATCGATTCATTTAGCAATCTGTCTGTTTATCTACCGAACTATCTATTGATTTACTTATCTATCTATCTATCTATCTATTTATCTATCTATCTATCTATCTATATGTCTGTCTATCTGTCTCTATCTCTCTGTCTATTTTCTCTCTTCTACATTGCATTCTTTCATACATGCACGTATATAATAATTTTTTAAAAATAATCTACATTACCAAAATAAAAATAATTAAATTTATAATCTAAAAATATATAAAAATTTTTATGAATATAATTGATTATAAAGTTTTAGCGTATAATTTTTGTAATAAATAAATGATTTATATGATTTATTCTCATCTAACTACTGCTCTGTTTTGATAATAATAGTGTTATTATTTATTCAATCTCAAAAATACTCTTCAATCTCTAAAAATAAAATTTTATATAAATCAATAAGTTAGGCTCTTTGGTATAAAAACAAATATTACAAAGGCAATTAAGAGCGCACGTTGTTGATTATTCAATATTGAAGACCGATGTTTATAAAGTTGAAAATAATTTAATAACAATTAATGTGTGTAGGACGAAAAAAAAATAATTTCAGTTTTTTGTAAATAATAGTGCTGAAGATGGTTCAAATTGGAACCGAAACGTACACTTGTAATTTCGTTTGAATATATAGAAAATTTACATGTTTATAAATTTACCAAATATAGAAATTCGTTAATGTTAACAACGTGCGCTCTTAATTGCCTTTGTAATATTTGTTTTTATATAAATCATTTATTTATTACATAGAATTATTTACTATATAATCAATTATAAAAGATATAGGCCTGTTTCTACACACACACACACACACACACACACACACACATAACTTGTTAGCTATAATGTGGACAAAAAATTTTTACACTCTAATCTACATACATATATATATACAATATATACACATATGTGAGTGTGACAAAAATTTTTTTGTCCACATTCTAGTTAACAAGTTATATGTGAGTGTGTGTGTGTGTATGTGTATAACAGGTCTATCTATAATAATTATAATTGATTATAAAGTAAATAATCTTTTGTAATAAATAAATAATTTATATAAAAGTATTTTAGAGATTGAATATAATAATACTATTATTATCAAAACAGAGCAGTAGTTAGATAAGAATAAATCATATAAATCATTTATTTATTACAAAAATTATTCACTAAAACTTTATAATCAATTATATTCATAAAAATTTTATTCATAAAATATTTTTAGTTTATAAATTTAATTATTTTAATTTGGTAATGTAGATTATTTTTAAAAAATTATTATATACGTGCATGTAGGGAAAAAGAATGAAATGTAGAAGAGAGAAAATAGACAGAGAGATAGAGACAGATAGACAGACATATAGATAGATAGATAGATAGATAAATAGATAGATAGATAGGTAGATAAGTAAATCAATAGATAGTTCGGTAGATAAACAGACAGATAGCTAAATAAATCGATAGATATGTATATATATATATATATATTTTTTTTTATAAACATTTTCTACGCATACATACGCATACATACATACATGCATGCATATAAAGAAATATATTAACCTTTTCATCCAGCCTTTCTTGAAGGAAACTTTATGACATAGAGTTTCCTTCAAGAAAGGCTGGATGAAACATAGAGTCTATGTTGACAAAGAGGCAGACGTTTTGCGTTATATTATTCTATGTATGAGAGAGACGAAGATAATATGACTGTCTGTCCTTGTCTAACTGCACTATTGCAGTTCCCTCTATCGCGACATCGCGCAACTAATTTTCTGCTCTGTTTTATTCCTAAATGTCATTTCGCACATACACACCCAGATAACAAAATACTTCCACGGTACCGGTACGGAGAGCGTACGTCGTATCTTATGTATCAGTACGGTACCTACCACGTACGTGCGTACCGTAGGCGTACATTACCAGTACACCGTATTAGTACGCGGTACGGCTACTGTAGCGCCACTGTATTACCACTGTATATTAATATAAAATTTCATCATACGCTGTACTTTTATAATACCAGTATAGTATCAGTACGATACCAATACAACATCAGTACAGTTAAAGCACAAAAAGGATTTTCGTACACGCTTCCTCCTCTTCTTCCCCTTTTCTCTCTCTCTCTCTCTCTCTCTCTCTCTCTCTTTATTATTATTTTATAATTAAAAAAACAGTAAAGTTAATTTTATAATTAAAAACAATTATTTATTTATCTCATATAAAATATATATTTTTTAAAATTTTTAATTTTTTAAAAAGTTATATATATATATATATATATATATATATGCGTATTTTGTATATGTTACAATGATATAATAATGTATATATATATGTATATGTATAAAAAAATATATATATATATATATATATATATAATATGTACAATACATGTTTTATATAATATGTATATACTAATACGTACGTTAATTATAATAACTAATATATCAATTATAAACGCAAAGTACAACATTTATTTTAATTAAATTATAAATTAAACTATTACCGCTAAAACCACTTGTAACAAGAAAATCCTACTCGATCTTATTTAAGTCCAAGTCTATTATTATTTTGTTTTTGGGAAAAGGCCCCATCTCCGCCTTTTCCTGTGAGGCACAACCAAAAAATTTGCCCCTCCATATTTTAAGCCTTGTGTCCACGATCCGAGAATTTGGTCCGAGTTCTCGGACTAAAAAGTTTGTAACCAATCAATTTGCAGCTTTTACAGAAAAGCGGCTATTTTATTGGCTACAAACTTCTCGGACTGAATTCTCGGATCGTGGACACAAGGCTTTACCTGAAACAGAAAATAAATAAATTAGAGGTGAGAACGGCTCCTCCCCGCCGATCACTGTGAAGCACGTCCCAAATTTGATATTGCTTCTCCAAAGTATCTAAAAAAATTACGTTGACCATACATTACTTTCTGTTAAGTACTTCAGTACTTACATATCGTCTACGCGTTGTGTCCTCTTGGATCTTATCGTCGTCCACGTAATTTTCCATTTCAGCATCTTCATGGATTTCTTCAGCGATGTTATCCTCATTCCTGGTGAAAAATAAAAATTGTCAGAATTCTCATAAAGATTGCGTAAAATAAAAATATCTGAAAATATCGGAAATATTTTCACAATAAGCAACGTTCTGCTCTGTCTTTGAATGTATTTTATTTATTATTTATAGCGATACAAAAATCCAAAAGCGTCATTTTATCTTTAATTTCCATTGAATAATGATGTATTAACGTAAATCGCATTATTTCATTCTATTTTTATATTTATATAGCAAAAAATAAAGATATAAAATATTAACATTAATTTATATCTCTATATAAATATAATATTATGAAATGCATTCAAAGATAGGACAAAATATAACCCCCATAGCAAAAACACCAGTGATATCATAGTGATATGTTTTAAATGTCATTAACGATATGCGAATGTCCGCTTTTTTGTCACAAGTGTAATGTCACAATGATATCATTCACAAGCGGACATTCGCATATCGTTAATGACATCCAGAATATATCACTATGATATCACTGATGTTTTTGCTATGGGGCAAATATTACAAAATGTAATAAAAAAATAGAGTAAAATGTAAAAACATCATACATTTCAGAAATATTCATTAATCTATATATATATATATATATATATATATATATAATATATTAAATAGAACAGCGACTTTCGAATCTATATTTTTCTCTTGCATTTATTTATTTCCGTAGGGGGATTAAAGGATTATTGAAATTAAATCTCAAAAATGAGATTATTTCATATTTTAAAAATCTTGGCCGTGACTAAGTAAAATTTGGTGCCTTGTGCACAGATATTTAATTCTAACGAGAAAATTTAGTTTCGTTAGGATAACGCACTGTCTTCCGCGATTGGCTCTTATTGCCTGTCTTACACTTTAAATTTATATTTAAATAGAACACTTTAAAATTATCCATAAATATTCTGACAATAGTATTGAATTATTTTGCATATTATAAATTTTATAAAAATTTTTACATGTATACATATAAATGTTAAATATTCCTTAAAATTTCTTTTTTTTTTATAATTTCCTCAAAAATGTTTTAAAAATCTAAATTTTTTGTAATAATTTTTCAGAATTTATTATTAATTAATTATGAATTGTAAATTATGAAAATTCCTAAATTAATGAAATTGTGAAAATATAAATATTTTTACCAAAGAGCGTCCTCCGTATCTTCAATCTCCTCAGTTTCCTCCGTGTGTTGAGTCTCTGTTAGTTCATCGTTGCCACCAAGTGAATCGTTCTCCAAGTTTTCGTCATCATCGATCTCCTGCTCAGTCTCCACGATATCTTCAAATTCTGTAGTTTTCTGTAATCATAAAGTTTATTCTTTTTAGAACTAGTTGTACTAGTTCAAAGTTTATTTTTTTTTTACATTGGAAGAATTATCAACTAAAAAAATAAAAAGTAAAAGTAAAAATAAGAAACATAGACCTCATCTTTGTTGTCTATTCGGCGGCATCGATTTGGTGGGACGTCCTCCTCATTTTCTTGACGTCGTTTCTTATTGTAACGCCATTTTCTGGTTTTAAGACTTTTTAAAGCCTTTTCCAGGGCGTCATAAAATTCGACGTTGTTGGGATTAATAAAATATTTGTTTGAGTTCATGGCATCTGAAAAATATAGACAAAAAACACTTTAGTTTTGTATTCAATGCCCCCCCCCCCCGCGTATCAATAAAAATTAACTTAATAAATACTTCAATTTTTTGGAGCAAATTCTTAAAGTTATACATATGATTATTACAATCATATATCTTTCAAAATTTGCTTTAAAAATTGAAGTATAAGGTCATGATCATTTTTATTTTTACGACCCATAATGATTACATTTACGTCATCTTTAATCAAATTTAATAACATCCTAGTTGTTCTAATGCGTCATTTACAATAGGATTTTAAGATTTAAAATTTAAAAAATTAACCAATTGCAATTGACTTTAGAAAAGAATAATGAATATAATTAGTCAATTTTTTAAATCTTAAATTTCTTTCTTAAAGTCCCATTGTAGACGACATATAAGGTTAGTCAATGACAGCTGTTTTATTTTTTAGAAGAATGACTGTGATTAGCCTACCTCAAAACGAAAGTTACTAAATTCATTTAAGTTTGACGTGTAAACGTAATTAATGTAGGACACATGCACATCACACACTGACAGTATTTTTACAAACCTTGACATGCCTGAGCGAAGCGACTGTCCCGCAATTTACAGCCCCCTCGTTGTCCACTTTTTCCATTTAGAATGAGGTGTGATGAAACCTCCTCGTCTTCTGGAAATACGCTGCAAAAATATTCCGTGGCGCAATCTATTGAATTGGCTTGTCCAAGATAAATGAAGTCTCCCACCTAATACAAAATTTTTGATAAAGTGAAAAAATTACTATATATATTTGTGTTAGAAAATATTATATTTCAAAATATATCCTTACCAAATCATTATTAATCTCTTCATCAACTTCTTCGAAGGCCAAGAAATCATCCACGATTTTAAATGAGACCTCCTGTGGCTTTGTTGGTCTCTTCATTGTAGATTCTTTCAATAATCTTTTTATAGTTTTTGCATTTTCACTGTAAAAAAATAAAATTACATAATTAATGTATTTATAAGTATTCAGTTTTACTTGCTATTCTTTAATAAAATTATTAATATACTTACTCGGTTTTATTTTCTATAGAAATTTGTCGTTCTTCCATTCGATGTAGTTGATCCATAATGATTCTAAAATGAAATTTAATGCCTTTATTTGTGCACATAAATGACTCTATTTTATTGTAATTATTTTTAAAACTTACTTTAGAGACTGCATTATTTCTTTTCTTTTATCAATTCTTCTCTATGTGTGGACAGGCGATGGCTGCATACATCATGAACAAATGATCCTGATTGTGTTTGTTTACTGTTTATTTGTTGTGATAGTGGTTTGAATGATGATTGGATGTTTTGCGTAAATGATTGTATAGATGCTGATGAAGACGAGCGTGACAATGTTTGTTTACTGTTTGTTTGTTGTGATGGTGGTTTGAATGATGGCTGGACTTTTTGCGTGAATGATTGTATAGATGCTGATGAAGACGAGCGTGATAATGTTTGTTTGCGTTGTACTAATGTAATGTCTTGTGCGGATAATTGAGTGGTTACTGAAGGTGAATGTGATACAATGGATCTATGTTGTAATGGTGCTGATGGAGGAGACATGTGTTTATTTGAGTGTTGTGATGAGAATGATGGTGATGGAACATGCAAGGATGATGATACTGGAGATTGTGAATGATACTTGGATGATGCTGAGGCTGCTTGTTTTTGTGTATTTTTGTGAAGTGTAGTTATGTTAGGTTTGTGTATGTGTTTTGTGCGGTATTTTTCGATGTCCTTGTTTAATAACTGTAATGCTTTCGACGCTGTCTTCCCTTCGGTGTTCATTCCTTTTCTTCTTCCTTGTCCTCGCTCTTGACTCATCTTTAAAAAAACTCCGCACACGTTCTTCCATAATTAATGCATTACGTTACATTCATTGATCGTAAATTTAAACCCGCATATAAACTTGAATCGACAAGAAAAATTATAAAACTATGTTCCGTTTTTATTTGTACGTTGAAGTAAGAGTTTGTATAGATTTAAAGGCCTTAGAGAGAATGCACCATACTGAAATTAGAACTGATATTTCTAATCTACCTAATGATGTTCCTAATCCATAGTATGTAGAATGACTATGATTTCTTTAGAAGTAATGGCAGAAATTTGGGATTAGAATAATATTCCTAATCCATAGTGTGTAGAATAACTGCAACTACCCAGACATCAGTAATAGGATCTATATGCCCTTCAGTGTGCCAATAAGGTATACGGAAACACTTATTCTGCACTTCATTCAAATCTATTATAATAATTTCTTTATATAATAAAGAACATCAAAAAGGTACCTACTGATGATGACAATGACAAACCAATATCATAAAAATCTTCAACTCTGCAAAACTCTTTAACCGCTAAATGATAATGATCACGCAAGAAAATGATGCTCTGAACAAGACAAATCTTTGAATTTTTTAATATTATTGTATTATCCCGATTCTTTACTAATAGACGAAATTTTCCTGTGTCTAAGATTTGAAACTGGCGACTATTTAAGGGAACATTAAAAACTGTAGGACTAACCCAAGATCTACCGGAATGTATGACTTTATTGTGATGTCATTCATAATTTTTTGTGTGATTTGTAAATTTTGATGTCGCCTATTTACAATCTGTTGCAAATGTTGATAAGATTTACGGCAAGCTTTGCGGAAATATTATACATCATATTGTTTTCGTATGGAAACATAGACAATTCATTTAATGAGCCAAAATGTCTAACGTTATCTACGAGATGTAAAAAGCAATGAGTAATGTATGAGAGAAATTCTGGACCATATATATCTTCTGCTCTATTTACAAAAATGTTTAATGCTGTAGATGCAAAATCAAGACGGTCTTCTGATAAGGAAGAACTAAGCAAAACTCGAATCGCGGAATGTAATAAAAGAAAATGTTTGTATGCAGTAGGATTTATAAGTCCGTAATAAATAACTGGGGCAGTATATAGAAGAAGTTGACGATTTTCCGTGGCCTTAAACTCTCCATATTTTTTCATTAATTGCGGTTTTCGTGAAAATTCCTTAGGGATGTAATTCGCAACTTGTTGTAAACGTGCAGTCATAATTTCAAGTAATCTAGCAGAAAGTTTTATGCCGATTCTTGGATTATATTTTCCATCAACAAGAACACTATTTATTTTGGGAACAACACCAAGACAAACAGTGTGCATGTAATCAAAAACCGTTTGAGTTACCAATTCCACCCCTAAAGGATGCAGAGCAGATTCTGACTCAGTATGATGTTCTCCATCAATGTTATTTCTGTATTCTTCGTCTGTACGGAGTCTATGCTGAATACCACGATAAGCTACGCATCTACGACGAAGCCAATTTCCCCGAATCCAACATTTTGAACACGAAAATAGACTACCGTAATCTTTATGACCCAAAATAAAAGCTCGTGCAGGAGAATCAGCTATGAAACATCTTAATTGAACTATTTTTAGTTGATTACGGAAAGCAATTCCTTCACGATTTAATATATTTCGAACTTCATCTACAAAATTCTGAAATAATTCTTTCGCGCTATTTGGTTTCGATGTACCTCGCCAAACATCTACAATTTCAGGTTTATTTCGCGGAATATTTGCAATTCTAATTTGTATCGGCCACATTTGAATTTTGCCCTACCCATCTAACGTCGCACCATCTGTACTAAAGTCTATCATTAAAGTGTCAAGTGGAATCAGATCCGGAGAAGTTTGCTCAAGAATGAAAAGAATTCCTGCCTCAAACCCTAAATGAAGATATTCATCTCCTGCAATGTTAAATGTGAGATGCGTGATCCGTGGAGTTTTTAAAAGCGTTCTACAATCTTTTGGCAATGTGGATAAACAGGGATGTGTTCGAACTACCTGTAAAACAGCATTTGCTTGCGCATGAGACATATTACTACGTACAAAGACTTCAGCAAGGCGTTCTTGAAAATTATCGCGAGTATTTTGAGGCTCAGTATCTAATGCATCATCACTATCTGAAGTAGATTTAGCAGCATCTGAAGAACTTGATGCCTCATCAAATTGCATATCATCAGATGATGCATTAGAATAAAATGCAATTTCCTCATTTCCTGGCTGACTAGATTCCGCAAGAATTTGACCTTTATCAACAGAGTCTGAATCGACTCTAGCACTAGCAATCTTTAAATTCTTCTGTAGCAATTTATTACGCGCATCTCTTTCTAATTTTTCTAAACGACGACGATAAACTGTAGATAATAAATAAAAAGGCTTGCGACTGCGCCTTTTCGCTAAACGAAACATATTGAAATAAAATATAAACGAAAGAAACGAATAAAAATGATAATAAGATGAAAAAAATGAAAAAGTTGAAATAAAGAAAGACAAGTTTGTAATCTACTTAAAATTTAAAAATATGTAACTTAAAAAGAAAAATACTATACTATACAAATTACACAAACCTCGTTCCTTATTTATTGTAAGTAATATCTCAGCCAGCAATCTAACCTGTGAATTAAGAAAACAAATAAATAGTGTATGGTATTGTATAAAATGATTGAAAATACATAGAAATAAATAAACATATTTGTGTGCTAGTGTATTTGGAGACCACAGCTGGCTAGAAAAATTGAAAAATATATTACTATTAAATAATAATATTAATAATAATAAAGGGGGAAAAATGGCAGACGAGAAGGATAAGCAGGATTGTGAATTGTGAAAGAAAGTGGGAAAGAAGTATGTGAAAGGCGGAAAAAATGAGGAAGAAGAATGACGGGATAGTGAGTGAAGCGAGGAAATGAAGGACAAGTGGGGGAGGGCAGAGAGAAGAAGTTACACAGGAAAGAAAATTCAAGTAAGATTGACGTGAACAAGGATAAGGATAACGTAGAAGAAGAGATGAAAAGCAGTAGTACGGGAGAATGATTAGGAGGAGGTAGGATGGAAAGGAAGGAAAGAAAGGAAAGGAAAAAGAAGGAAGGGAAGGAAAAAGGGCTTTCCAATTTTCTTTTAGATGGGGGATAAGGGAAGTCGAACGGTAAGAGTAGAGTAATGAGTGTGTGCTAGTGTAAATGTTCGTGATTTTGTGCAATGTACTAAGCTCGGGACCGGAGGAACGCTAAACCCCGACACTTGTGCACTTCAAATGTCCCCTGCGGGAAGATAGATCGGATGAGTGTGAGGAGACACGGATGGAAGTAAGGAAGAGATGCAGAGATAGATGGAGATAGGAGTAACGATAACGAGAGAACACGTGATAAGAAGAACAAGAAGGCTAGGTGATATGAGGCGTGAATAAGAGAGGAAAGAGGAAAGGAAGGAAAAGAGTGAGTGGAACAGAAAGACACGGAAGGAAGAAGAAGGAAGAGAGAGATGGAAAGGGAGTGTCAGAGAAAGAAGGACAAGTAGAGAAGAGAGAGAAAGAAAGTAACAGTAGAGAAAGAAGAGAAATAAGGACGGTGGATGGAGAAGGATGGTGACAGGAGGAGACTGGAGAAGAGAAAAAAAACGTATTGATGGAGAAAGGAGAGAAGAAAAGGAGGAAAGGCGGTGGATGGAGAAAGAAAGCGACAGTGGACTAGAAAGCGTGAGAGAGAGAGACGAGGAAAGAGAGGAAAAGGAGAGCAGAGAGGAGGGAGAACGATTCGGAAGGAGGAAGAAGGAGAAGAGAGGATGGAAAGGGAACGCGAGAGGAACAAGGAGGATAAGGAGAAGAGAGAAAAGAGGAAAAAAACGTACTGATGGAGATAGAAAGGAGGAAAATGAGAAATGAGGACGATGCATGGAGTAGGATTGTGACAGGAGAGGACTAGAGAGCGTGAGAGAAAGATGAGGAAAGAGAGTACACATAGAGGAACTATCGAGATTCGGGATTAAGTGTGAGTAGAGATAAAGGAGAGTAAGGATAATGAAGGAGATGATGATTCGAGACGGAGATAGTGATGTGGAAGTGCGTGAGAGGCATAACACTAGACAGAAAGATTAAGAAAGAGAGGAAACAAAATGTGCTGCAAGAGAGAAAGAGAAAAAAGAGATTTTGATCAGGAAAAGAGAGAGTAAAAAGAAAGAAAGAGAGAGGAAAAGGAGAGTAGAGAGAAGGTAGAACGAGAGAGAGAGAGAGGATAGAAAAAGAAGGAAGGAGAGAGGAAGAGGAGCGTCGTAAATAGAAGAGAAAAGGAGTAAAGGAGGAGAAATAGAGATTGAAACAGAAAAGATGGAAGGAAGAAGAAAGAAAAGAATGAGTTAGGGTTAGGAATGCAAGGAATGAATAAGAGGTGAAAGAAGAGAGGGATAGGGTGAGGAGAAAAGTAGAGGAAAAGAGAGTAAAAAAAAGAAAAAAAAAAAAAGGAGGTAAGAGATGGGAACGTAGGTGGGAGAGGGTACCCCTCAGGGGCACTACGGACTCATCCCCGTAGTGTACGGGTGTCGCAATCCCGAGGTACCTGAGCTGGAGTGTTTGGTGATGGATGAACGGAGTGTGATGGGTGTGCAGACCCTAAAAAGGACTTGTCCACTGCACTAGGTGAAGGAAAACACTGACTTAACACCCGGGGGGAGGCCCCGTTAGCTGAGTAAGGCAACCTCCTAAGGGGAAGGAAACCCCCGACAGATAAAACCAATTTTCTTTTTTCAGATGGGAATGAGCACCGAGAAAAGAGACGACTTTCCAAAGTCGGATACTGGGAACCGGCGTGGGGGGGGGGGGGGGGTGTAGGCCTGGCTCCCTCCATGTCGTCATCAGACGACAGGTCGTCCGCAGTTTTGCCGGCTGGGACTGCGGACTGGACAGCGACAGTGCCGAGGAAGGACACGAAGTGGATCCGTAGGGCTCACGAGGGCCTTATGGTTCGGGTCGAGGGAATCGACCCCAAGTACGTCAGGAGACTGCTTGGGCGGGTCGATTTCCAAGTGAGTTGGAGGAGTATCGGGTGCTCCTCGAACATTGTGAGAGGTTCACTATAAAGTGTTGGTGCAGCAGGGAACGCTGGGTCTTTGTCCAGAAGTGTCCCGCGTGCGGTACCGAGGGTCCACCGTCTCCGGTGATCGTGAGTGGTGGATATTTGTGCGACCTCGAGAACAGTGGTGAGGGACTTCCGTTCCCGTCTCCGGAGGAAGTGCGTGGTGTGAGCGACGACGAGGAAGCTGGGGGAGACCTCACCTTCGTTTCGCTCCCTTTGCCGTTTTCGGAGGACGAGGCCGAAAAGGAGGATCCGACGTGGAGGGTCCATGATAAAAGGATCCTCACGGGAAGGAAGCAATATCCTCCCAAGAAGAGTGCTGCGGACCTTGCAGGTAAGAGCGGCGCGCGTGGCAGAGGTCGTCCGAGGACCACGGGCGACTACGCTGGACTAGCGAAAGCCAAAGAGCGGCTTAATGAGGCGACGCGCAGGGAACTCCACCTCGCGGACTTGCGGAGGGTATTGGACCCATCTTTGGGCCCAGTGCTCACCGCGGTAGGGCGGGAGAACGCGCCTTCTGAGAAGGCGTACAGGGTCGCCACCCTTAGGGGTAAGACTGCCCCTGAGCTCAGTAAACTCGCGGATACGTTCACTACCCAAGTGGAGAAGTTGGCCGGAGTGCATGGCATTGAGGATCTTTTGCCAGGGAGCTTCGGACTTCTTCGATGAAGCTGGGTGGTGTAATTGAGGAGCTCATTACGAGGGTCTCGACGGATGCTGACCCTGGGATGGATGCTTTACGCAGCGCAAACCAGGGTCTCAGGCTGAGAATTTCAGCCCTCGAGACCCAATTGGAGAGTACGAGGGAGGAGCTGGCTTCGCTTCGGGCTGTATTGCCGGGAGTGGAGTCACGCTACTTTCCGAGTACCGGGAAGAGGAGAAAGAGGAAGCGGCGAGCTCGCTCTTCTTCTTTGGACCAGGCCGGCGGATCTCCGGAGTTCGCTGCTGAGCGGCAGCGGGAGGACTGTCCGATCACGGTGGCGGCGGTGTCGTCCCTTATTGATCGTCGTATTAACGATTTGAGGGGCGACATTGCGTCAATTGTCGTGGCCTCTTTGAGGTCGGAGCTTGCGGGGCGGGCTGGGCCCGCTCTCCTTGGAGCGACGCCCATGCGTGCGCCCGTGCAGCGAAGTGTTGGTGGTGCGGCTGCACCGATGCGGTTTCCCGCTCTTGGGGGCTCCGCTGCTTCCGCTTCTGCGGAGGTCTCGGCGGATGCCTCCGGGCGCGGGGCTGTAGCTGGTGGCGGCGGTTGTCGGCGTCGTCGTCATCGCTCGGGGCCTGCCTCTGGTGGTGCTGCGGTGAGCGTTCCAGCTCACGGAGGAAAGAAGAGGCGTGTGCCTTCTTCTCTCCCCTCGTCGTCGGTGGTCTCGCTGACGGTCGGTACGGTGGAGAGGGAGGAGCGCGAGAGAACGTATGCCTCGGTTCTTCGCGAGGCCAAGCAGAACGTCGATCCGCCCAAATTGGGCATAAAGTCGATGCGTCTCCGTCGTGGGGCGACGGGCAGCATCCTGCTGTCCGTCCAAGGAAGGGATTCCTCCAGATTGGCGGACGAGCTGGCGTCCAGGCTGAAGAAAGTGGACTTCTCTGCCAAGGAAGGAGTCAAGGTTAGTCGTCCCTCTCGTATGGAGGAGATTAGGCTGAGAGGGCTGATGGCCCTCATTTCAAAGGAGGACATCTTATCGGAGGTGGTGTCGACTTCTGGTTGTGAGGCGAGTGAGGTAAGGATGGGGACATCCGATTGTTCCCCAACTCCGAGGTGGGTACTGTGTGGCTTCGCTGCCCGGCCGGGGCTGCGCGTAAGCTGGTCAAGGCCGGGAGCATCTCATCGAGCGGGGGGTGGTGGGGGTTGACGGTCACGTCACTTCCCCGCCGCCCTCTGCAGTGTTTTACGTGCCTCGCGTTTGGCCATACGGCCAATAGGTGCGAGTCGGAGGCGGACTGCAGCGGTTGCTGCTACCGATGCGGCCAGAAGGAGCATTTGGCAGCCAGATGCGTGGCGCCGCCCCTTTGTTTGGCATGCAAGAGGGCCGGTAAGCCCTCGCAGCATAGGGCTGGCTCCGGAGCTTGCGCGAGGAGGATCATTCCCCCAAAGAATTATGGAGGGCCGGTGAGCGCTCCTCCCCTCAGGGTCGTCGGCGTCCCGGTAGGTCCTCCTCTGTGGGTGGGTCTCCGGAGGCTATGAGTGTTTCGGGGGGCGGGGGATCGCCAGGGGCGCCGTTAGGTGACCCTGCGATCCCTTCGATCTCCTCAATGTCTACTCGTTAGTCGTGTCTAATGTGGTTATGGGAGCTGCTGCCTGCACTCGTCCTTCTTTGCGGGAGGCAAGCAGGTCCGGTTACGCTC